AGAGCATGACAAACTTGCCGCCCTGGTCCGGCGCGTCAAAGTTGTACCACTTGCGAAGTTCCGCAGTCATGTTGACGCCGGTCGGCACCTTCTTGGGGCATGGAATCTTGCGCGCATCGCAGTACGGATCCGGGAATGACGAGAACGTCATGATGCAGAGACAGACAGTCGCGATCGTCCAACCGAGTAGCATCCACGGCTTACGGCGATAGCCCATGATGGGCACGCAGTCCGAGAGCATGCCGAAGAAGACCTTGAACGACCAGCCAAGGACGACGAGCACACCGTAGGCCGACACTTGGTAGCCTTCCATCTTTAAGTAGTTTTGGAAGACCGAGTACTGCATGCCGGGCAGCATGCCGTAGAGAATGCCGATGGCAAAGTACTGCGAGAAGAGTGCGAGGGCCTCACGGGAGACGAGCGAAAGCGCACCACCGGCGACGAGTGCGCCGTCATCGAGCTCACCGGGCGTCTTGGCGTCGGCGTAGTCGCCATCGACATCCTTGTCCTTGGTCGCCGACTGGATGTAGGAGACGCGCTCCTGGAGGTCCATTTGACCGAGCTCTTTTTGAGTCGTAGCCATCTTGTTGGTCTTGGAGGCAAAACAAAAAGTGAGAAGGCGAACCGAGCGCGAAATCAACTTCAATGAGGCGGCGTAGTAGGGTGACTTTGCGCAGAAAGGACCTATATCTTCGTAATCACCACCTTTCCCGCGTAGTACAACGTCAGCCGCTCGTTTTGTGAAGCCAAACGCGACAGCTGTTGATCCGCTTCTAGGTTGACTTGACGACCTGCCACGCTGGTGGAAACTGAATTAAGAGCATCGACAATCTGACATTCTTGCATCGTTGCGTAGTGGTTACAATCGCTCGAAGTATCACGAGAGATATGAGTCAAGCTATGGTCTGTGGCGCAGCTTCCGCAGCAAGTACGAGTGCATGGAAGTGGGGGAGGTGCCCTTTTCTGAGTTGACCAAACGACATCTGGTGCAACCGGTGTGCGGAAACTAGCGCAACCATTGGTGTTTTTCTATCACATTGTGGTAACGAATCGAATGGTTGTGTTAGATTTCAGATCCGTCAACATCTGCGTGCAAGGGAGAAGGTAATGGGAGTCAGAACGGAGGTCCTCGAGCTCCTCCGCGAACAACACTTCGACCAAAGGGACCTTTTCGCACTTGACATTGGGCGTCTTGGAAGTTTGCTCGCTGTCATTTCTCCAGCCGACCAGGTGAAACGGGTCACCGCACGCGAGAGACTGTGGTATCGCATGATTCGTCGAGCGTACCGTAAACCAAAGAAGCTCTGGTGCCAAAGCACCTCGTTCAAGTGAAGAGCCGTGCCATGTTGGTACTACGGTCGCAAGGTCACTTGTTGAAGTGACGAATCAGAAGGTCAAAAAGCAGAAAATACCGCGCATGCCAAGTGGGCTTGGCGAATGTGCATAGTGAGCGCAAATGTATTTTTCAACGCCAGCAGGCTCATACAAAAACCAAGTTCTTTTCTTCTTGGGCCGGGTCCGGACCGTGGTTTTCAGGTGTATGCGAGGACCGAGCGCCCACCGCGGTCATTTTACGGCGTTCAAACGGCGAGTACCCCTTAAGTGGTGGGACTATAACACACGTGTGCCTGTTAAATCGAAGAAAGAGAAGAGAAGAAGGAGGAAGTTCGATATGACGTGGCGATCTTGTGCAAGCGGTATAATACTATGCAAGCGGTGTTGTGCGCGCGGCAATTG